ACTAATGTCATTTAGAGACCGATTTGTCATAAATTGCTTTTTTTTTTTTGTAGTGGTGATGGATCAACTTGACTCTTCCTTTGTAGTTTTATGGCGAGCTAAGGATTTTTGCCATCTCAAAGCTTCAGCTTAGTTTGGACTCAAACTTTAAGGAGAATTCGGAGCCAAAGGCTCAGGATATGGATGATCAAGGAGGCTCCAAACCTTTTGAAGGCTTTTAAGTAATGGTTTGGTTGACCAAGAAGGCGCCAAACAATGGGTAGGAAAACATAAAACTAAGAGAAGAAAAAACATTGAGAGGAAAGTGAGTTCGAGAGAATATCACACAGTCCACTTAGAACACTCATGAGAGTGGAGAGGTGAGAAGAGAACTAGAAACCAAATGAATATTTCAAATAAGATTTTTACAATGTATTTTGCAAGGAGAAATGTGATTTGAAGGGCACTTTGGAGCTCCATTTATAAGCAAATGGCCAAAGGGTGAACTGGCACACAAAACGATTTGGGAACTGACTACCCATGGCCTAGGCGGTCATTGGTGGGGCTGGCAGTTCATAATTACCACTTAGCCATGGGAGTTAAGCCATGATCGGCTAGCGATTATGGCTTTTTTAGTTCAAATTAATTAGTCCAACTCAGTGTTGACTTGATTCGAGTAGCTTGTGGGCCATTTGACTTTTGATTGGCTCATGATAGACGTTGTAAAGCTCTTTTTGTCTAGTTTCCTATATACCGAGATTCTTCCAGAATTCCATCTGTGGAAAGAGTTATAGCTAGAAGATTGGGCAAAGGTCAGCCTTGACTCCTAGGTTTATGTCCAGTATTCGACCGATTCAGTATTGGTTTGAAATACACCTCCTATAATTGCTTTACCACGGTGTAAGGGTTTAGAAAACCAGTTGACATTACTCTATCTCTCTCCTCCTTCCTCTATCTACTTTCTCTCTCCTCTTTCTCCTCTTTCACTTTTCAATCCCCAATTTCTCTATTTTCTCTCTATTCCTCTCACATAGTTCTTTTTCCCCCCTTCGATCTATCTCTTTATCTCTCCCTTTTCTTTTTGGACTAACAGGCACACAACACGTTAAGGCACACTTTTTAAGTAGCCATTTCCCGGTATTCAAAATCGAAACCAGAATCGAAGGAAACTAGAATCGAAACCGGCGATTCCAAGAATCGACCAGAATTGTCCGGAACTACAATTTTTTCCAGCTGGTTGCAATTGATGGTTCCAACCGGCGATTCTAAATAAACTTTGAATTTTTGTTCAAACGACTAGAACCGGCAGTTCCACCCGGTTCCAACAGCTTTTTTATTTTTCCAAATAATTTTGTGAAGTTTCCAAATTAACCCTCCTAACAACTATAAACAACTGTATAACGACTAATTTTAAGAGTATTTGTGGAAAGTTTATTTTTTGGATTTATTATAAATACTCCCTTCCATTTACAATCCCCTCAGACAAAATTATCTCTACTCTTTTTACACTATATTATTTTCTATTCTACAATCTCTCCAATTTTCATTTATAATTGTTGTCTAAAATATTGCAAAATAATTTCTCCAAAGTCCGATCTCCAATTATTGTGCAAATTATTGAATTGTTGTCTAAAATATTGCAAAATAATTTCTCCAAAGTCCGATCTCCAATTATTGTGCAAATTATTGTCAATTAATTTCTCCAAATCTCAATCTCTAATTATTTTCTCTAATTTTTTTTATTCAATTTTTCCAAGTTACATATTATCCTATAATAGCAGGTAGAGGAAACTCAAGTTCTGCCAATGGCAAGGAAAAGGTTGGAAAAACATAAAATTCATCTATGTCTACGAATGACATGTTCAATTGCACTCCAGATTAATTTGATCTTGAGGGATATCCAGATGAAAATTTGAAGACTTCAACTCAACAATCTTAATTTAATGAAGACAACTTACGATAAGAGGAGGATCAAGGTACACAAGTTGTTCGATGAGCAAGACAAAGTTCTGACATATTCGTCATTCATGTCACAAAGGAATTTAAAAAGCAACAAAATGTTCGATGTAAGTTACAATTATTATGGAGCATTTTATAAATACAAACAAGCAGGCGATTATGGATCATTTTGAAAGCATTTGGAGGCAAAACATCTAACAAAAATAGGAGTTGACCAGAGTCAAACACAAATTTTCGAATACATATCTTCTTACTTTTCTTTATTTCAATATTCTGAAAAATAACATAAAGAAAAATTAGCTAAAATGATTTCTATGAAATATTTATCTTTTAGTTTTTGTGAAAAAGTGGGTTTTAATCAATATTATCAAAAATCTTTAAATCCTTCTACTAAAAGAGTGCTAAGAAATACTATAAAAAAGGAAAAAAAAAAAAGAGTTAGAACTTTTATTTTCTGAAATAAAAATTTCATGTTTCAATTTGTTGTGATATATGGAGTGATCATTGGCAAATGCATTCTTATATAGGTATTATATGTCATTGAATTGATGATGATTGGAAAATTCAAATAACAGTTATTGCTGTTCGTATTTTTGATGATAAATATACTACAAATAATATATATAGAATGATTGTTTCAATTTTAAATGAATAGAGATTGACCAAAAAATATTTTTTAATTTCATTTAATAATGTCTCTACCAACACTAAATCAATTATTGAAAGCAATTTGTGATCCAAATGTTCGTGATAAATTTTTTTCATATTATATGTGCATGCCATGTTTTAAGTTTATGTCTGCAAAATAGTTTAAAAGTTCTTAAATCTTTTATTTCTCCAATTAGAAAAGTTATTTCATATTTATGGGACGTCTCCAAGAAATGAAAATTTTGGCTAAATTTTATAAGGAAAATAAAAAAAGACCAAAACGTTTTCCAAGGGATGCCCAAACTCATTGGAATTCAACATGTGAATTATTAAATGAGTCTTTTTCATATAGAGAATTATTGTGCACATTTACTACTAACAATATTGAAGAAATTAATTGATATCCACAAAATTGAGAGATTTGTGCAAATATTTTTTATATTTTAAAGATTTTAATGGTGCTACATATAAATTTAGTGGAGTTTATTATCTCACATCTCATTTATTTTTGCTTATATGTATTAATATTGTTAGTGCACTTCAAAAATTTGAAAATGATGTTTTATTAAAAAACTATATTTTATCAATGAAACAAAAATGGTTATCTTATTTTAGAAATATATCACCCCCTTTTCTTGTTACTTGTGTATTTGATCCTAGATATAAATTTAAAATTTTATTTGAATATTTAACTCTTTATTATGAAATATTAAATCTTGATGTAGAAGATAATGTTAATGTAAATGTCGTATTGTATGAAGTTAAAAAAATATTATAGAATTACATGCTCAATTTTTTCTATATTCTAGTTCATCTATTTCTTCTGCTTATTCTCAATTTAATAAACAATCATTCCCAACCGAAAAGGTAAGTGTTGGTGTTACCGAACGTATATTATTATAAAAACAAAAAAGACTTAGGGGATCTGGTTCTTTTCCTGAACTTAAGAGTTATTGTAATATTGTTTTCGAGTTTAATGATAGTTCTGCAGATAACAATTTTTCAATTCTAGATTGGTGGAGTTGTCACACCAATACATTTTCAACCCTTGCACTAATTGCAAAACAAGTTTTAATAGCTCCGATCTCGATTGTTGTGATTGAACAAGCTTTTAGTCAAAAAGGAAACATACTTTATGAAACACTGATTTAGGATGACACCTGATTCATTAGAAGCACAATCATACCTGAATGATTGGAGCAAAACCGAACTAAAAGCACAAGAGAATATCAAAGAAAATGAAGATTGATATGAACTTTATGATGGGTCCTCAATGGAAAACTAGTGAAAATAGCGACTAAGTAAGATAAAAGGGGCGAACTTAATACAAAGTAAGTAGGAACTACGTGAATTTTGGTTCCTCTAAACTCCAAGAAGCTATGCAGGCAATTTAATTTTGAAAAAAAATTAAGTTTAAGCCTTTTTGTTAAATAAAAAAATAAGTTCAAGCTTTTTGAAAAAAATAAATTAAATTCAAGATTTTTTTTTAAAAAAAATATTAAGTTCAAGCATTTTTTTCTAAAAAAAAAAAAATTAAGTTCAAACTTCTTTCTTCTTAAAAGTTTTTTTTAGAAATTATTTCACAAATTTTTTAATTTTAAATTTTCAAAAAAAAAAATATTTTCTAATTTTTATTTTATAATTATGCGATTCACCGAAAATTTTCAAAAAAAAAAATATTTTCTAATTTTTATTTTATAATTATGCGATTCACCGAAAAACAGTTGAAACTATTGATAAACTAAAATTAGAATTGTAATCGATCGCTTCTAAACAATAATTCAAACTATTAATTTTCGGTTCGGTTTTCAAATCCTAACCACCCTAAGACTGTCCATCATACGTCCAAAGGCATTTTGATAGACGTAAATCCGACGAGTCCTATTTTGGACCAACAGTGTAGTTCTCATAAAAAAATTATAAAATAAGTGTCAAATTCACAGTTAAAAATTAAAATATAAAAAGAGTAGTCGCATTTCTGGTTCCCTTTTTCTCATGGGTTGTCGTAGTCAAACATATGGGTTACGCTTTCAAAACGTTGGATTTATTAAAAAAGAAAAAAGTAAGTTAAGAAGGTCAAATCTCACAACTACGACCAGAAAGTTATAGTTTTACCAAAGCGACTTTTGCAGGCTTTTAGTAGTGATAAAGAAAGCCAAATGAAACAGGAAACAAAGAGGAAGAAGCTCGATTAGAAGAAAGACCAGACTTGGCAAATGCTACCAACTACCTCTTCAACCATTAATTGCAATACTCCTTTTCAGTTTTCTCTCTTTTCCCTTAAAAATAAATAAATTAATTAAACTCTAAAATCAAATAGCCCAGTGATAATCGCGCGCATTATTCTTTTATTTTAATAATAATAATAATAATAATAATAATAATACTAAAGGTTTCTTTCCCCTCCCATGTCATGTGAAACCGCGTCTGCAACAGTGTTCCTGCTCAAGAAACTATTATGTATTCAATTCAAAGTCTAATTATTTGATTTTCATTCTAAACTTTGTAAGACACAATACCTAAAAGACTTCTCTTTCTCCCATTCGTTTTTCTTCATTTCTTGTCTCTTAAATACATTTAACTTCTCTTATACAGACCCATATACTTTTTACAAAAGGATAAGGAAAAAGAAAACAGAGCTTTTAGCTTTGCGTGTCTTTTCATCTCAGTTCATCTTTCTAGGATTTTTGGGACGAAAGCCCAGTAATCGAAGCATTTTTCGTCGAAAATATACTTTTCCTATCTGGATGTAGGATTTTCTCTTTGACCAAACAAGAAGAAGTAGCAGTTCCCATGGGTTCCAAGTTTTGTATGATTCTTGTTCTTCTTTTACTAATTGCCGGCGCTTTTGGTGGACTATGTGACCAAAAGAAGAATGTAAACCAGAATATCTCAACTCTCGCCGGAATCGAGTTGCCTGAACACATGAGCTTCAATGCAGTTTCTTCCTCAACAATAAAAACAGATTGTAGCCTCTCCACTTCAAAGAAAGATCAAAAACCTCAATCTCAAAGAATATCTGTACAAGAAGAAGAAGAAGAAGAAGAAGGTGGTGATGGTGAGGAAGATGCTAAGAAGACGGTGAAAGTTGAATTAAAGCACAGGTCGACGAATAAAGAATCTGAGGCCAAAAAAGAATCTTTCATCACTTCCACAACTAGGGATTTGACGAGAATTCAGACTTTGCACAAGAGGATAATAGAAAAGAAGAATCAAAATGCCATTTCAAGACTAAATAAAGACAGAAATCAGCCAAAGGTTGGCTCAGAACCACCAGCAGCGTCACCGGAATCTTACCCAGCTGAGCTTTCTGGGAAGCTAATGGCTACTTTAGAATCAGGGGTAAGTCTTGGCTCAGGAGAGTACTTCATAGATGTTTTCATTGGTACCCCTCCTAAACACTTCTCTTTGATTCTTGATACTGGTAGTGACCTTAATTGGATTCAATGTGTCCCTTGTGTTGATTGTTTTGAGCAAAATGGGCCTTATTATGATCCTAAGGATTCCATTTCTTTTAAGAATATTAGTTGCCATGATCCTCGTTGTCGTTTAGTTTCGTCCCCTGATCCTCCTCAGCCTTGTAAGGCTCAAAATCAGACATGCCCTTATTTCTACTGGTATGGTGATAGTTCTAATACCACTGGTGATTTTGCATTGGAAACCTTTACTGTTAATCTCACATCAACTGAATTTAGGCGAGTTGAGAATGTTATGTTTGGTTGTGGTCATTGGAATAGAGGCCTATTTCACGGGGCTGCAGGCTTGCTAGGACTTGGAAGAGGGCCTCTTTCCTTTTCCTCTCAGCTTCAATCTCTATATGGTCATTCCTTTTCATATTGCCTTGTTGATAGAAATAGTGACACTAACGTTAGTAGCAAATTGATATTTGGGGAGGATAAGGACCTTTTGAATCACCCTAAATTGAATTTTACTTCTTTGGTCGGTGGAAAGGGAAACCCAGTTGATACATTTTATTATGTTCAAATAAAATCCATTATTGTTGGAGGAGAGGTGCTAAATATACCAGAGAATACATGGCATTTATCATCTGATGGTGCTGGTGGAACTATTGTGGATTCTGGTACTACACTCAGTTATTTTGCTGAACCGGCTTATCAGATGATAAAGGATGCATTCGTGAAGAAGGTAAAAGGGTATCCTGTAATAAAAGATTTTCCAATTCTAGATCCTTGCTATAATGTGTCTGGGGTTGATAAGATAGAACTGCCTGAATTCACAATCTTATTTGAAGATGGAGCAATGTGGAATTTCCCTGTTGAAAACTATTTTATCAGACTTGAACCTGAGAATGTTGTCTGCTTGGCCATTTTGGGGACTCCTCAATCTGCTCTGTCCATAATTGGCAATTATCAGCAGCAGAATTTCCATATCCTCTACGACACAAAGAAGTCTAGGCTGGGATATGCACCCATGAAATGTGCAGATGTATAACATATTTTGTGTTTTTTTTTTTTTTTTTTTATTTGAAGATGGAGCAATGTAGGCATTTCCCCTGTTGAAAACTATTTTTTATCAGACTTGAACCTGAGAATGTTGTCTGCTTGGCCATTTTGGGGACTCCTCAATCTGCTCTGGTCCATAATTGGCAATTTATCAGCAGCAAGAATTCATATCCTTACGAAAAAGAAGTCTAATGTGGGGATATGCACTCCATAATGTGGCAGATGTATAAACATATTTTGGTGTTTTTATTTTTTTTTTTTGGGGGGGGGGGGGGGTTAGGATAGCATAACAAAGTGTTAGATTCATTAATTTTCCTTTTTTAAGTTTTATTTTGGAGATTGACATAATTATACTCATAAACATGTGCAAAGTGTTCAATATAGTGTGGGGGGGGGGGGGGTAGGAATAGCATACAAAGTGTTAGATTCATTATTTTCTTTTTTAAGTTGTCATTTTGAGATTGACATAATTATACTCATAAACATGCAAAGTGTATCAATATAGTGTTGTATGCAAATTTACTGTTTTCTTTCGGAGATATAATTGCTTCTTCTTGTGATACAATCTTGCACTGAAAAGGGGTTTTTGTGTAAAGAAAAAGACATGATCTCTGTATGATTCCTTTTCGGCTTTTTCTTGCATCGCATTTACTCTTTTGATCTTAGTTTTAATAGCCGTTATCTGCCAGGATTCTATTTCGAGTAATTCAGCTTCTTTGCTTAACGTTTGTTTCCTTCACCTTGGGTTTTGTAATAGGAATAGGAATGAATCCTATTCCAATTTATATTACAAAACTAAATACACTTTTTTTATAGAATTTTTGGTTAGAACACGAGTAATGCTTAAAAATATATATATTTGAAAAATTATGATAGTTTATTCTAATGGTTAAAGGGGATTCATTACACTTTGATAATTTAGAAAGAGCTTTTAACGTACCGTCTTAAATAGATTTTTATTTAATATTTCATCTAACGTTAAACGGAAGGCGGATATATATATATATGCTAAAATAGAATTTTGAAATTGCAATGTGTTTCAAACGTGAGTTTGACATTATTGTTACATAGAAATAGATTCTTGATTGTTTTGTTAAACATTAATAATTATGTCGCTGTAATTGAAGGGTGGGTCAACTGTTAGGTGCGCCACCTAAGTGCTGTACGCCGACAAAGAATTGGTCAACTTTTAGGGGTCTCACTTTTCTTTTTAATATTTCACTATCTCCAATCCAATCAATAATTTCTTTATTTTTATTTTTTTTTAAAGGAATGATGCTAAAAAGAAAATTTAATTTTTAATACTTTTACGATTTTAGCAATTTTTTTGGTTAAATAATCACTTTTGTTATTTTTTATACCAATTGTAATCTTGGTATGAAAATGACTGTATGCCTCCTCTCATATTACATCAGGATGATTAAAGAAAACCAATAACAACTCACCAAGATATAACAACTCGGTTCATCGATTTCCAATTTGGTATTGACATGCTTTTTGTTTTCCTCCTTACTCTGCACCCTTTCTTTTCTTTTCTTTTCTTTTTCTTTTTCTTTTTTAAACTTGCCCAGTCAACTTGAATGCAATAAATAATTGATTCCAACATCAATTTTTTTGGGTAATTATCGCTTCAAATGCAACTTATAGCTAAAAAGAATAAAATAATTATTTTTTTATTACATGGGAGGTCAAACAAACCAAGAGAACAAGTGGCCTACATAATAAGAATGGCCTTTCTCTTTGAATAAAATTCACTAAATTGGTGATAATTTTTAATATTATTATATTTATAAAATAATACATTTTAGTTATAACAATACTAATAAATTTATTAGTTGAAAGTGTTATTTTCCAAGTAGATTTTATTAAGACCAAAGCAAAATATCTTCTTTAATATTAAACTGACTTAATTATCTTTATCAAACAAAATAGAGATCTTATGGCCGGTTAGATTTAACTGTTGATACCAGCTAATAACTAATAATAATTGTTAATAGCCGGTGGTTAGTGGCTGATAATGTTAAATGATAAATATTGTTGTTTGGTAAAATTTTAATAGCAGTTGTTCTTAAAATGTAACATGACCATTAATGTAAGGTCATGATTTTCCTGAATTATGAGTAGTAACTTATCGGACTATGAATAGTATTATCCGACTGGAAATCGGTATTTTTTTAATCCAAAAATGTTATTTTTCATAATTAATATTTTTAATATTTATTTTGGTTCATGCATGGATATTTTTATGGATAGAAATTAAGTTATGATTTTATTGGTGAAATTAAGTAATTAACGAATAGTATTTCGAGGTATTTTTAGAAATTAGAAAATTGTTGAATTAATATTATTAAATAAGTTTAATAAGTGATGGAGAAAAAATATAATTTATAAAAGTTGTTGTGAGATTAAATTGTAGCCATAGGATTAAGATGACTTGGACTAAACATTGGCCATTGATTTAACAACTTCATGACAAAGTTGTTTATAATTACAAAAATGTCATCTTATTGTGCTATGCACTCCCTCTCTCCCTTCTTTTCTCCTCTTTTCTTCTATGTTGGCCAAACCCCTCTCCCCTTCTCCAAAATTTTCTTCAAAAGCTACTAACAAATCACATAAAGTAGCTCAAATTAATTAAAAACAAACATTTACATTAAAGATTAAAACTTGATTTTGTGGAGGAAGTAGCAATTATCCAAAGAAAAACCCAAGATTTCCTAAAAATCCAAGTAAGTAGAGTTTTTATTTTTGAGTTGGACTATAGGATTTAGGTTGGGGTTTCTCTTCATCTCATCTTTCTATATGTTTTTCTTGCATTCTTTCTTTTTTGGAGCTTTGTTTTTCTCTACCTTAGCTAGATTTTGGTGAGTCATTAGAGGTAGACAAAGGCAAGGCTAAAGCTTGAGTTGGAGCATCTATTAGCTTCTTAGAAGTCCTAATTGAAGGTTAGTGCTCCTTCATTTCAACTCCTCTTTCATTTTTGCTACTTTTGATTTTCCAAGTTTAGTTGATTTTTAGGGTTTTGTTTAAAATAGTTGAATTGTTGAGTGTTGAGTGTTTAAACATGTTCTTTATAACACCCTAACACCATGTATCTAAGGATAAATAGTGCTAAGATGGTACAAAACATATTATACAGATCTTAAAACAGAGGTACAAGTCACACCATGCATTGGACAATAGAAAAGATTATCAAAAAGTTCTTACTTTACACATATAGTCATATATTAGAACAGATGGAATTTCGACTGCTATTGCCTCCTAGTGCCAAAATATGGAAAATATTAGCATTTTATATGAGATGCTACTCAATAAGTAAAACCACTATAACAATTATTAATTATATAATAAATATCAAGCATCTCAATTAAGGCACACAGTACACTCCCAATAATTCAAAACATCTCAGACTCCTTAGGCCATCAATGCCCGGCATTATACATTACCAGATATAGCAAACATTCACCATTACATTCACGGTAATAGAGTACAGATATTACATCATTGTCACTAATAGAAATAAGAGTAACAGATGTATACCATCACACAAATATAATGTTACAAAAGCTTAACTCGGAAGCATGATGCAGATGATTGTCAGATTATCTATGTTATGACTTGTCAAACCAAACTCGCCCCGGATATCAGATAACAGATTTAAGATATCAGATTTAGCTAGCCAGCTTTTAGATCAAATATTTTGAGCACGCAACTCCAGATTCAAAATTTGAGCTTATAGCTCCATATAACAAATTTGTGAGCACGAAACTCTAAATAACAGATATATGAGCACGCAACTCCAGATAACAGATCAGATTCACGAGTTGTTAATGACAATCATAACTTCCTTTTATCTCATATGCAGAGTTTGTCAGATTTACAAACACAGATTAGGTTCATCGGCCTCAGAATAATGTGTACCTTTTTGCTTAGCTTACCATTTTTCGGGACAAGAATCATGTTCTTATCATAGCAATATCATATATAGCATGAGCCATAATAAATATTAAAAGCATTCATACATCATATACAATTAAACATTAGATGCTTTTACTCAAAGTATATAGTGCAGTAGTATCAAGGCCTGGAAGAGCCTCCTCCTTCACTTCCTTGTAGGACCCTTTTACTTATATGGATAAGCAAGCACCTCAATACTCATTTAGGCATTTAATCAAAAACTTAGTGTGTATGACTTAAATACTTTATATTTTTATTTCCCTTTGCATTTTAAACTCCTGAAAAATCCTGTATATTCTCCGACACTCACTTAACAATCTTATTTTCTTAACCATCCAACTACTCAAGAATTAATATCATTAAAAATTCATCATATATTACACTAACAATGAATATTTCTTAAGTTTTTAAACTTCAATAACCATACAAGTATGGGAAATCTCAATGTAATCATAATTCCTTCCAAACCAACACGTAATAGCATTATTAAAATGCTTAATTAACTAATTAAACTTGTTAATTCAAAATGAAAGGATCATTTCCATGATCATCTTATGTTGGCCAAACCTCCACCTTAGCCTCAAATATGATTTTCTCTTCGAAATGATCATTCCTGCGGTAATATTTCGAACTAATAGAACCTTTATCCTAAACCTCAGATATGATTTTCTCTTCGAAACGATGATTTCAAACTGACAGAACCTCCATCCTTAACCTTGAGTTTGATTTTTTTAATTCAATCAAATTTAAAGCTCAATTCATTTGCTATTCACTCAATAGCAACTAATTAACAACTTAATCATAGTATATCACTTGTTAACATCAAAATCAATGTCCCCTTCAATTTCTCTACTTTGAAACCCTAACCCAAACTCCAAATCAAACAAATAACACAAACTAAGTAGAAATTAGTTTACCTTAGGTGATTTCCAATAAAAACCCTTTAGAAATCAAGTTGAATCTTTAAGTTTTCAACTTCTTCTTCTTCTTCTTCTCTTCTAGCATCGGCCTCTCTCTCTCTTTTCCTCTTTCTTTTTTCTTTCTTTCATTTTGTTA